ATGCGTACACACACACACACATATATATATATATGTATATAAACACCGTGCATGCATACGCGTCTAGATAGATAGATAGATAGATAGATAGATACATAGATAGATAGATAGATAGATGGACAGATAGATAGATAGACAGATAGATAGGTAGATAGACAGACAGACAGATAGATAGATAGATAGATGGATGGATAGCTAGAGGGATGGATGGATGGATGGATGGATGGTTGGATTGATGGTTGGATAGATGGATAGATGGATAGATAGATAGATAGATAGATAGAGACATAGATATTAGTATTTATGTATATATGTATATATATATATACAGAGATAGATAGATAGATAGATAGATAGATAGATAGATAGGTAGCATAAAAGGGTGCCATAAGGGCAAGTGTCAGTGTGACAGCAGTAGCTGACCCATGGTGCCAATGCCCTGCATGTTCATCCCCGGTAAGCACGCCATGTCCAGGTGCAGGTTGTGCAGAAGGTGGTCGAGGCTCATGGAGAGTCTTGAGTTAGAAACCTTCCGATTGCCAGCTTCGCTTCTTGTTCAAGCTCTCAGATTGGCATGAGCTCAGACCAGCTATGGACTGGTTGGTGAATCGGGGACACTGAGTTTCCATGTGCCGAGAAACCGGCAGGTTCCGCAAATCGTGCAACAAGAGGTCGAGCAGATTGTGGAGCAGATCGTCCAGGCAAGGGCTTTGCGAGAGCGAGACACAAGACGGAAGGCATGCTGATACTGGATTCCTGATACAGGCCAAAGTTGAAAGCACTGCTGCTGTTAGAACCTTTCCCGTATGCGTTTTGTCTTGCCGGGCTCGGATGTCAGGAGTGGGATATGCATTGTGCCTTGCAAGCCGTGCCCGCACAATAGGAGACAGAAACCTCAGGCCTTATCTGAACACGGATAGTAACTCTTCCCCTGCTTTATGCCCTAATTAAGTTGACTTCACCTACTGACGCTGTCCGCTCAAGCTACTTCTACAGGACGGAAGTGCTCTGCCAGGATGTGCTCAGCATGAAGACTGGTGGTTGTGTGTTGTGCTAAGTTGCAGTTGTGGGATATAGTTCTGGAATTTGCAGCCGTACACTACGGTAAGTCGCAAACTTGGCATCCCAGAGTTTCGAGGCCACGTAGGGCCTTCTGTCGTAAGCCCTTTAGCTCCCAGCCGTCAGAAGTTGTCAGACTGAAGTTTCGAGCTCTGACACACTGAAGCCCTAAACCCCAAACCCTAAGACTCCTTAAAACTCCCTAAGCCCCAAAAACCCCAAAAAGCCGCAAAATGCCGTAAACTCCGCAAACTCCCTGAACTCTGGGCCCCGGGGTGCCAGCAGAGGTGCCGCAGATCATCGAGCAGCCAAAGGTCTCCCATCGACATGTGGAGCAGATCGTGGCTCGACGGGACGCGGATTCTTACATTCTTTAGGGTTTAGGAGGGGAGGGGGCGGATTGATACATTCTTTAGGGAGGTTTCGGAGGGGAGGGCCGGGATGAAGGTTCTTGGAGGTTTAGGGAGGTTCGCCCAGCATCGCCCTCAAGAAGCAACCCCTTCTCGAAGCCAACCCCCGGTTTCAAAAGGCTGTAAAGTTAAAGTTTCATGAGCATGTCCGCAGCATGATGCAGCGGCATCAAACATGCTCTGGGAATCAGCTCGAAGCAGGGCCCGGCAGACGGCACCTAGAGTCTTAGACCTAAAGTTCCACGGAAGGCCTGCAGTACGATGTTTTCGTGTCTCGCACCTGGTTTGATCTGATTGTGAAGCTACAAGAGCAAAAGCATTCCAAGATGTGCCAAGTTGCCGGGTGCAGGCTTAGCAGATTGCCTTTGTTTATGACGCGTGGAGACAAGAGGCCGTAACCGAAAACACCAAACAGCGCTTGTTTCGTGCTCTGTGTTAGATGACTGATGTTTTGGGAAAGGTGCCTCTGCCACTGCACAAGTCTGCAGTTCGGGCCTGGAGAGTGTGGGCACTCTACAGCAGCAACGAGGAACTGCTTTCGGCACAAGAGCCGCTGAATCTCAGAGAGTCGAGGAAGCGTACGTGGCATCGCCACAGCCGCAGCTGCAATCTTTGTGCCGGCCATGGGCCAGCAAGAGTTGCCTAAAATCATGCTTGAAGCACAGACCCCAGACCGCAAGGCGAAGAGGGCAACAGCGATGGCATAGCAGCAAGCACCCATGGCGCTTGGAGAGGACCACACTCCACTACACTCCAGGATAGGGATAGTCCATGCTTGAAGTGATTGAAGGGCCGAGGCCTGATTTAGGGCACTGCCGTAAACCGTTGGTCCGCATTCAACAAAGGCCTGGCCAACTTAGCCCTCCTGCAGAAGCAAATCCGAAGGAGCTGAAGACCTCTTCTTTTTCCTGCCTGAGGTTGACGTCCCTGTGCCGCAGATTGTCGAGGAGGTCGTCCATGTGCCAGTGACGCAGACCCAAGCTCGCCCCCGTCTCAGTGACTCAGGTGGGGTTGAGGGTCTCTTTCCTTCGGACATGAGGCCTGCGGTAAAGGGGTCGTTGTTGGTGCACAGAGGATGCACCGGCTCCTCCGAACCAAGATCGCGCAAGTCTGAGAATGCTGCAAACAACAAGGCTGTTGCGGTTGTGGGGACGCGGGATTTGCCCTTCCGCCGCGAACGCTCTTGCTGGGACATGGTTCTTGAGACTCAGGCCACCACCATGTGCACGTCGAGCAGCAGGTGGAAATTCCCGTGCAGATGATGCAGGAGCAGACCGTGCATGTGCCCAAGGCCGGCCTGCTTTAGAAGCTCAGGATTTCTGGGCTTGCAGATCATAGGAATAGTAAAAAACCATAGTTAAACAGTAAAAGTCATAATGTAAATCATACTGAAAGTAAGACGAGCAATGATAAGAACATAACCAAGAATTCGAAAAAACAAGAATAGTCATAGCAGTATCAGTAGGATACATCTATCTTTCGCAGGTGATGGTGCAGAAGCGCCAGACGCATCAGCACGTTGAGCAGCTGGTGGAGGTCCCGGTACCCATGACACAGGAGGAGGTCGTGCACGTCCCCGAGATCGTCACCCAGACCCGTGTGCAGCAACAGCAAGTGGAGCAGATGGTTGAGGTGCCGATCCCCATGCAGCAGGAGGAGATTGTGCATGTGCCCGAGATCGTGACGCAGCCCCGCATCGTGCACCAGCCTGTTGAGCAGATCGTTGAGGCCAGGTTGAGCATCCTGTTCACATCCTCCGAAGCCTTTGCTTCATGCAACGTCCGGACATGCCGTCCTAGCAGATCAGCATGGCAGAAGTAGTTCCATCAAACTTGCCTTTGATTGCATGTCTCTGTCAGGTGCCTGTCCCCATGACGCAGGAGGAGCAGGTCCATGTGCCGAAGATCATTACGCAGACCCGCATCCGTCACCAGCCTGTGGAGCAGATCGTTGAGGCCTGTCAGGGTCTGGGACTGAAGCCTCGAGGAACCAAGCGGAGAGAGACGTAACTAGGACTGCTTTTGTGTCTTCTGCACTTCTGGAGAGCCCCGACTCACCGCCGGATTTTGAGCCCCGCATGGATGGGGGAACCAGGGCAAGCCGGGTGTCCAGGTCCCGGTTCCTATGACTCAAGAGGAGCAGGTCCACGTACCCAAGATCATCACGCAGACCCGTGTCATGCACCAGCACGTCGAGCAGGTGGTCGAGGCGGATCTTTGGTTTTTTCGTGATCCCTGAACCCAACTTGTGAGTCGTGAACCCGAAACCCTAAACCCCAATGTCGGTGGCTCTAGGTGCCCGTGCCGATGACGCAAGAGGAGCAGGTGCACGTTCCGAAGATCATTACTCAGACTCGCCGCTGAACCGCACCAGGCTGAAACCCTAAACGATGAACCCTGAACCCCAAACCCGTTTTCTTATGCAATAGTTAAGTTAAATAGTGTTGACACCACCTGCCACCGATGATGATGGTGTATCATGAGAAAGATGATGGCAGTGGTGCTTTCAAAAGTTTCCATCTGCCATGCGTGGTACAAGTATGTTTTGAAGCATCCTAGAAGCATGCTTGCCAAAGCGGACAGACAACCAACCGCAACTGTGACAACCGTCACCACCAGGATCACTATCATCTTCATCATCCACGACAGTTAGAGATCATAATGGTCAGTAGCACTACGATCCTGCCTGCGACGGTGGTCCATGGATTCCAATCGTCTCCTCCTCGTTGTCCTCTTTCAATGGAGCAACCGTCTTCTAGCCACCTAGGTGTTTATGTACTACTGACAGTGGAACATCCGACGGATGCACGTTGCTGGGGCTTTGTTTTGTGCGAGCACGCGGGTCGGTGTAGGATGTCACGGCCCATGTCCTAAAGTCTAAACCCTAAAAAAGTTCTGAGGTCAGATCCACCAGCAGGTCGAGCAGCAGGTGGAGGTGCCGGTTCCCATGACCCAGGACTCGCCTTCAAGGGTCCCGGTAAGTCTGCTGCAGGGTTATCGAAGGTCGCACAACTCTGAAAGAACTTAAACCCTCAACCCTCAACCCTAAACCCGCTGTTTGCTTTTGGGCTCGAGGTTCAAATATCCTTACTTGCCTTGTTATTTTTTTTTTGGGGGGGGTGTGCAGGAGAGGGATGCCTAAGAGGAGTTGAGGCCCAAGACCTCCTGATGGTTTAGTATAGGGTTAAAGCCCGAGACCCGCAGGAGACTGTTGTCCACGTGCCGAAAGTCGTTACCCAGACCCGGGTGATGCATCAGCACGTGGAGCAGGCGATGGTCCGCTCGTTTTCTAGATCATTTTGACTTGTGGGGTGAGGGTTAGGGTATTGGAATAGCAGAAGCACAGCACCCACCTGGCTGCGGAGATGGGAGATGGTTGTCGGTTTTGCCAGCTCGCCGCAGGACAGTCGCCCACACCAAGGGTCTCTGCTCTGAGAATTCCTTTCCTTCAGGGGTCTTTAGTGATGGTAATCCCCTGCCCCAGCTCCAATTCCTGTCCTCAGCCAGGTGGTGGAAGTGCCGATGACACAGGTGCAGGCTGCGAGAATCTGCGGAATGCCGAGGGTGTCAGAGCTGTTTCGGGCTCAGGGTGTGCTCTGGGTGCCGCAAGTTGACTTCGTTGCAGCCAATCTTAGTGATGAGTAGGCTCTGTTGGCTCTGACGCTGCAGTGCCCTTCGGGCTCAGTTCGACATAGAGATCCACAAGGCAAAAGACCCCAAGTATTGTACTCCCGTGACTTCCGATGCCTGGAGTTCCAGTTTCGTAGCCATGCCACGCGTGAATTGAAGCTAACCGAATCCGTCTGAGGTTTGCGTGGTGGCAGATTGGAAGGATAAGTGAACTCAGAATGATATTGGGCGCAAGCCCATGAATCTGCAGTCCCTAGACCTTGAAGATAAGAAGCGCAGGGGAAGCAGGGTCAGGTATCCCAGATTTCGGTTCAGGAGCAGGTGGTCCATGTGCCAAAGATCATCGAGCAGGAGCCCCTCCTGTTGCCGACATGTCAGAGCCCGGTATGATTGCCCGTAACAAAGGGAGGACTAGGATTTGCAGGACTACTGTGTTACTTCATACGTATCGGCGGGTCTCTGCATTATCATCAAGAGCAGCAGGGACAGTAATGCTTCTTCTACGAGTAGCGTCCTGCCTCTGCGGATAGGAAGGTCGGTTTACTGCCCCTTCTACCGGGAATTGCCCAGATATCTGGAGAGGTCAAGTCATTCTTCCAACAGCACCAGCATCATCTAAGACGGCAACTGCTTCAACTGCAAGTACAGCTGTGCGACAATAATACCGTCCTCCCCTGATCCCGCGACTTATACGTTTCCCTCAGCAACAAGAGCAGCAACAACAACAGCAACAACTGCTACAGTACTGCTGCTGCTACTGCTGCTGCTCTTGCTCCTGCAGCTGCAAATGTAACTGCTCCTGCTCCTCCTCCTGCTTGCTGCTGCTGCTACTGCTACTGCTACTGCCACTGCTGCTGCTAGTCCTACTACTACTACTACTACTACTACTACTATTACTACTACTACTGCTACTACTACTACCACTACCACTATCACACCGAGGGTTTTGGTCAAAGCAGCCGCAAGCTACCCGAGTTGTGGGAAACCGC